AGGGACAAAGCCACGCGGGTTCTGGGGCCGAGATCTCCAAGTCTACTTGGATTGGGGCCGAGCATCCTCCACCCAGATCCTCCAAATTCCAGTAGGCGGGGGTCACACCCACCAACTGGCCCCCTGGCGCCGTGTAATCCCATCGACGGCCAAGACTCAGAGACTATAAAAACCAGGCTGCGCGACATCTTATTATGACATCTTATTATCTCATTCCTCCTTTGGACAAACTGGCAGGCTACCGAATGTAGCCTGCCCACACGGCAGAGTCTGGCAAACTCCCCGTGGCGTACCCAATATGCCAAATACCAGTAACAATGATGGGTCTCATTCTCCTAAAGAGCCTTGAATATAATCTCAGGGCTAGGATGGAGGAGACGTTACTGGGGCCTGCTTGAGGCAATCGACGAATAACAGGATGATTTGTGATTTGTGATTTTGTGATTTCTTAAATGAAGAAAAGATATGTACATCTTTCTTGGAGCAAATAAATGACTGAAACACTCATCCCACCTAGTGGCAGAATGGCTTACTACAGTTTATTTTCTCAATTTTAATTTATCTATCATAGGTTTAAAATATTATGGAGTCTCAGGAGGATAGTTTCACCCATATAAATGTTCACATACACACAAACCAAAGCTCCACTTGTCAGACCATATTCTTAAATGCTTTCCTATTCTTTCCAACCTATAACCCCTTTTCCTCTAGTAACCTTAAATAAGGTTTTCAAGGTTTTCACTTAAATAAGGAGTTAATTTCTTTCTTTCTTTCTATTTTTTTTTGCCAGTTTGTTTGTTTTAGTTATTTTTACACCATATACGAATCCAACAACTTGGCAAGTATCTTTTAGGCTAAAGAAAATCCATTGTAAGATCAATGAAGAATTCAATCAATATTAGGAGTTTATTATATGTCAGAGACTCCTACCAGACTTACATGCTGTGTATCAAATAAAAATACAAAAATAATATTAAGTTGCTTTTAAGTGTCATTATATTATTAAAATGACCCATTGAAATATATTATTTGTAGGAATTATCCCAATAGTTTAGAAAGAGGCAAAGTTGGATACTTATTGCTATATTAACAGTCTAAAGCATTAACTTGTACCAAATAGCAACAAAAGATATATCTATATCTATATCAATAAATAGAAACAAAGTACCATAAAAAAGTGGGTATAATCCTGTTAAAAAATTTAACTCCAGCTCAAGCACCCTATTTAAAATTTTAAGAGTTCCAGAAGTGCACAGCCATGACATCTCATACTTTATGCCACTGATATACCAAGAGTAGCACACTAGTCGATGGAGTGTAAGGCAGAAGACAACTGATCTTGATTAATATGTATATGTACATATGTATACATACACACACATATGTTTACACACATATATAATATATATTAACACACAAGGCTCAAACTCTAACAACATGTTAGTGATCTCATACTGGGCTTTAATGGCTCCAAGATGAGATACAACAATTTCCACACACTTTCCTCTAAGGAAACCTTTCTGGATCATTTTCAGTCAATTATTCATAACAAGCAATACAAAATAAATTATTTAGCATCTGCCTTGAGTAGTCATAAGAAAATAGAAATAATGGTGGTGGGAAGGTGTAATGGTGGTGGGACTGGTGTTGAAATATTGAATGTAATCAATTACTGTGAAAAACTTTTGAAAATAAAAAATTTTTAAAAAATGGGTAAAAAAGCTGTATGTGAATGTAACTGTTAGTGACTATGTTTTGCTCAATGCTCGAGCGGGCCCAGTAATGTCTCCATTGGAGACTTTGTTGTTACTGTGTCTGGCATATCGAATACTCTCGGTAGCTTGCCGGGCTCTCCGAGAGGGGCGGAGGAATCGAACTCGGGTCGGCCATGTTGGCCGCTTGTAAGGCGAACGCCCTACCACTGTACTATCGCTCCAATGACTATGTTTAATAACTTTATAATCGTCTACAACAAATAGCTAAACTCTCATTTTAAACATGTCTAATAATTATAGTTTCCATACCTGACAGTTGGTCTGATTCAGAAAAAGGCTACATATATACAGTAAAATATAGGATTTTATTTTTTTCTTTTTGGGACATATCTGGCAATGCTCAGGGATTACTCCTGGCTTTGCACTCAGGAATTACTCCTGGTGGTGCTCAGGGGACGATATGGGACACCGGTGACTGAACCTGGGCTAGCCACATGCAAGGCTGATGGCCCTACCCATTGTACTATTGCTCTGGTCCCAAAACATAGGATTTTAAAGTCAATGTATCTAGGTTCAAGTTTCAGCTCTATTTCTTACTTGTGGCATGACTTTGAATAAGCTACCTTACAACACTGAGTCTCATTTGCTCAGAAGTGAAACAGACATAAAATAATACACCTACTTTACATTGTTGCTGGTAGGACTAAATGAGAAAGTCAGTATAAAGTTCTTAATACAGTGTCTGGTACAAGTTAAGGGCTCAAGAAATGAGTACAGAGATCAGGAGGAAAAAGAGGTTCTCTGCTGACAGTCTCCCAAATCCAATGACAAAACTCAAAGTTCTTGAAGCAAATTTATGGAGTTCATACTGCTTCTATTCAAGTTTAGACTGAGAAATGATGAAACACGGAAATAATGCTTTATTAATGTATTTTCATGGAGTTTTTCCTTCTCTAGGATGGGAAACTGTAAGCATTTATTTCCTCTCTCCTTCCTTTGAGCAGTGATCTGGCACAGTTTTCCCAGAATTTCCACAGGCACTATCCTCTACCTGTAATACTCTTTTCCATACTGCTCATGGCAAACTTCATCAGTTTTTTCAGGTCTTAGCTCCAACATTCCTTTCCTAAATAGACATATCCTGATCCACCATACCTGACATTTTTTCTTGAGACTTGTGTGCTACTTTCACATTAGTATGCAAATTCAAAGAAGAGATTATCAGCTTATTTATCACTGCCCCCAAATCTAATACAGCATGGTCCAACACATAATAATAGCTTAATAAATATGATAAATGAATACATAAGGAAAATAGGTTAATTTCTGCTAAGGATATATATATGTATATATATATATATATGATGTTTTCATAATGCTATTCCTATGGTCAAATCTACTTAGACATCTTTTAGGAGACTCAGGCACAAGGTCTATAAAACACCTGGCAAAAGTTTTGCAGCATAGGAATGATGTAGTACTCTATGTTCCATTTAATTAAAATCTAGACTAGTTATGATTTTCCAAGTCTCCATGTAGATAGCTTCACTATGCCCATTCTTTTTTTTCTTTTTTTGCTTTTTGGGTCACACCCGGAAATGTACAGGGGCTACTCCTGGCTCTGCACTCAGGAATTACTCCTGGTGGTGCTCAGAGGACCATATGGAATGCTGTGAATTAAACCTGGGTCAGCTGCATGCAAGGCAAAAGCCCTGCCTGCTGTACTATTGCTCCAGTCCTCCCCCCATTTTTTCTTATTATTCAAAGTAAATCAAAGAAAGTTTGATTCTTTCCACCCTCCATTAGCCTCCAATTCTATATATCTACCCTTTCATGCTTTTCAATAAAGTACTTTACAACTTAAAAAAAAATCCAAGGTACCTCCTAGCTCTTTTGGAACCAAATATTAAATTAAGCAAGTTGAAAAATTATTCCTTGACCCACAATTCTGCTAGTCAAAACAAATCATACATTAATACTACACAAGAATCTGTTGTCTTATCACTTAATATCACCATTATTTCTAGGACCCAATCTTAACTTATAACCCAATATTTTGACATATTTTCTCTACTCAATCTAATTTCATTTGAAACCCTGACTTAACTTAGACATTGGCCTTATTAACCACTCCATTTAAGTAATTCCTTGTGGAAGCTGGCAGTGGTACGGAGGCAGATGCCAGGATGGGTGGATGGTGGCAGTTCTCAGAACTCTGAACTGCAGAGCGTGATGGCACAGAAACTCTCGATAATTTCGTGGGGATGAATGTATCAATTCTTTAAAAAGGCACTATTAAGAAGTGCCTGAAACTGCTGTGGTGCCCGCTGCTGTGGCTCAGGGCACAGACTGCGGACCTGAGGCGGGACCGCAAGTGCCTGCCATGTGCGGGCGACTTGGGTGGCTCAGGCACTCTAGAAACTCATGGCCGGCCAGGCACCCGCTCTGGGCCCAGAAGCCGCACCAAGAATAAAAACTGCTGCTGCTCCCATGGCTCAGCCACTGGCAGGGAAGCCATGCCACCATTTCTTCCCTGGGCTGGCCTGCAGCGCCAGCAAAGCATTATGAAGGAAAACCTCCCTGAGCGCCAACCGCCTGCAGACTCAGTGTGCTTCTCAGTTAAGGTTCTGCTAGACTGTCCACCCAGAGGGCCCTGACGGCCAACAGTATAGCCCTGGCTCTGTTCCCTGCTGAAGCCCAGGGGATGCAGTGCCGCTAGCAGGTCAACCTGGAGCTCTGAGGCAAATGCATCAATAGCCTGATGGTGCCTTCAGACTTCCTGATAGCGGAAATTTTCTGTGTCTCTAGCCAGACTCCAAGAACTCAGGACTAAGCTTCCTGAGAGATTAAACTGCCAAAAGTTAGTTATGTGGGAGTCGCACCCACAAACCACTGCTGGCTCAGCCATACAAGTTCACTTACTGGCTTTTCTTCAGAGACCCGTGAATAAATCTTGAAAGAGATCAAAATCTGCATTTAATCTCAGACCCCTGCAAGGCTGAACAGACTGGGGCAGATCTGAGCCGGGCAGGTTTGCCTGGTGCCTTCCCAAATAGAGCTCAGGCAGCTGCTTGCTCCCAACATCCAAAATTGCTACCATGCTTCAGGCAGGACTACACTGTTTTCAGACAGACCTCAACGAGATATTAATTTGCTGAAAATTTGGGTATATGGGTTTTGTGACTGGAATCTCCAGGCTTTCTTGGGGGTCGGGATGGGCTATCCTCCCTGTACCTCTGGAAGCCCCAGCATTCACGTCCACACACCTAGTTTTCTTTTCTTTTTTTAAATATGGATCGCTTCACAAATTTGAGTTATCCTTGCACAGAGGCCATAATATATCTTTTCTATATCATTCCAATTTTAGTATATGTGCTGCCAAAGTGAGATTCTGTCACTGAGTTTTTTTTTTTTAAATAAAGCTACTCCAGCTGTGCATTCCTGATAAAAATACCGAATGCTTGAACAAACACGATGACCTCTTAGTACCTGACTGCAAGCCATAATGCACAAAAGGAGAGAGAGAGAGAGACAGACAGACAGACAGAGATAGAGAAAGAGAGAGAGGAATGAGAGAAATGGTACCATGAAACTGGGGACACTGGTGGTGGTAAATGTACACTGGTGGAGGGATAACATTACATGGCTGAAACCCAATCATAAATAGCTTTTAATGGTCTATCTCATGGTGATTCAATAATAAAATGATAATAACAATAATTCCTTGTGTATTCACTGGATAGCACATAGATTTGAAGTTCCAAATTATAAATTCTATCCAATAATCTAATCATATCCTACATAAATGTCCAAATTTATGCATGCTTTCTCAAACCAAAATATTAATTTTTAATAATTATTTCTACGGGAAATTTATTTTGTATTAAATACATAGGAAAAACATTCAACTGACATAAATTTCTACTGTAATATAGAATCAATTAATATAGAATCAATCAATTCTGTAACCTGTTTAAGACACTACAGCAGACTAAATTTACTACACTTAAATTTAACTCAGGTTAGTATTTATGAAAAACAATTCATACCTCTGTCCAGAAATCCATATGGAGATTTTCCCCTGGATATTTTTTTTCCCTTGAGGTTGCTGTAAGTAGGTGAATACTAAGTGTTGCCATTTGCTTGGAAGGAAAATATTCTCCTGTGATTCAACCTGTTCTAGTAAAACAGCTTTCGTATCATCATTTGAATCCATGCACACACTACATAAGAGAAAAAACATAGGGAGAAAACATGATATTCTGATCTTAGTATTTAATGCATATAAAATTATAATTCTAAATATTTAAGTTCAATTTGTTTTGAGCAGTACTCAGGGGGTCTCTCCCCACCATACTTAGCAAACTGGATCGGGAAGTTCAATATTAGGCTTGAAAGTACTCTGGTCCTGGAGTCAAACTCCAGAGCTAATTATGCAAAATGTATTCATGACCCCTGTGCTGTCTCCCTACCTCCAAATCAGTTCTATTTTAAAAATCATTAGAAAAGTCAATAGTTATTTGTTATCTACTATAATCTGTTTAGTTATTTTACATTATCAACTCAGTTCATGCACTAAAAAAGATTGGTCTCATTTACTGGAATTAACTGAGGAATCATTTTCAGAGTTCAATTTGCAAGGAAGTATCATTGCTCTTTTAGAGCAATAAATTATAAAGAAATATCTCGTTCATACAACCTTTAATACATTATACATAAATATGTCAGGTTACTGAGAGACTGAGAAACAGTGATTATAAAGTATTCTGTAGTCTTTATCATCTTTACAAAGTTTATATCCCAAAAACATATTGTTCAGTTTTGTAAAAACCGTATCATAACAATCTACATTCACAAAATACAAATAGAAGAGTAGTATCTGTGCTAGCTAATAAAGAAGGAAGAAAGGACACGATGGCAAGAGAACCAAACCTTATAAAATACTGGCTGTTATGCATATAATCTGAATAATGGTTATTATGTATATAATCTGCATGGAAATAGTTGTGTAGTAATAGCAACATCTAAGATCACTGCACTCTGCTTCTTGTTGTTTGTTGTTGTTGTTTGTTTGGGGGCTACACTCAGTGGTGCTCAGGGTTTATTCCTGGCTCTGTCTGTGTTCAGGGATCACTCCTGGTGATGTTCAGTGAACCATATAGGTTCTAGGGATTTAACCTGAGTTGGCTGTGTACAAGGCAAATGACTTACATGCAGATCATGGGCTCTTAAACCCATGATCACTGCAATCTGATGGAATACTTCATATATCTCTGTGTTCAGGGATCACTCCTGGTGGACCCTGGGGGAACATATACGATGGTGATGACTGAAACAAGATTGGCCAACATGCAAGGCAAGCACATTAACCCTGTATTATTTCTCTAACCCAACTCGATTAATTAACTAGGAATTAATATACTTTTAAGAGTTTAATTATAAATTTTTAGGTAGTGTTACAAAGTTAGTACTAAGAAAATATTTTTATTTTATTGATAGTGCAGGATTTAGGCCATATCTGGCTGTGTTCAGGGCACATGACTGGCTGACTTGGGGTACCATATGGGGTGCCAGGATCAAACTCTGGTCTGGCACCTGCAAGTAAAGTGCCCTATGCACTGTGGTCTTTTTTGCTTTTTGGGTCACACCTGGCAATGTTCAGGGGTTCCTCCTGGCTCTGCACTCAGGAATTACTCCTGGTGGTGCTCGGGGGACCATATGGGATGCTAGGAATCGAACGAGAGTCGGTTGCGTGCAAGGCAAACGCCCTACCCGCTGTGCTATCACTCCAGCCACTTTTTTTTCTTATACACAGACTTCACATTAAATGACTCTTACAGAAATTATTTAAATACAGGATCTATTCATGAGGAGTTGAGGATAATCAATACCGAAAGATAAAAGTGCCATTTGGAGGGTCAGCCCACACTTGGATCATCAGAGCTTTGGATCCCAATGAAATCACATGCACACAGCCTTCATCGATTAGTCTTTCCCCAGGATCTCTGCACTCTGCACTTCTGGGTCTGCTGCTCTCTGTCACAAAAAGATTTTAGGATGATCAGTAAAGACCTTTATAAACTGACTGCAAAGTAAATTTAAAAGAATATAAAGCATAATTCATTTGCAATAAATTATTTAAAGTGATTTACTGAAATGTCTGAATCTGATTTATTTCAAATAACAGCATTCAAGTTTAGACGGTAAGTGAAAAAAAGCAAAAACAGCAAAGACATTTCTTTAAAAGTTATGGAATGTCTAAAAGTATATACTAACTGGGTGAATTGGCTTGAAACATGATGATATCACTGCAAAGATTTATTATGATCTGTGAATATTATAATTAATCCTTATTTATTGGATTAGATTACTGGCATCATGGATGTAGCCAAAGAAAATTACCATCATCATAAGACTGACATCAACAAAATCATTCTATTCTTATTATGATAGCATGTTTTATTAAAAAAAAATTAATCATACTAAAATTTCTTTTTAAAAAATTGTAGTATTGGATGTTGTCTTTGTTAAACTCTACTGAGTGAACTTTGAACATTACTGCTAGGTGATTCCGAAACTCTAAAATGTTTCTCTAAGGCAAGCTGATGTTACTGCCAAATATTTTGGGCTTTCTCCTTGATTATTCTTTCTTACTTCCCTTTTTCATCACATAAAATGTGAGCATGTATGGCAGGCATACACAAGCCTCTTTAGGCTACCTATTACTATGATGCATGACTTTATGTATAGTTATGCTAATGAAAATATATCAAAATACATGCGCAAAGGCTCAGAGAAGCCTGAGAAGATGTATACAACTAGTTGCAATACTACATGTATATTGACAGTTTTGAAGAATAATCACTTAATCACTTAAGTGATTATTCACTTAATCACTTAATCCCCGTTATTCATCGATTTATTCGAGCGGGTGCCAGTAACGTCTCCATTCATCCCGGTTGCGTGCTAGCGTAGCCCAATGGTATCTGTTCGTTTTAGGAACATGTAGAGCCTCAAACCGATCATTTAGGGTCTTGACGAAGAAGTCTGACCATCTTATAGGTGGGCGTCCACGTGATCTTTTGATGTCTCGTGGAATCCAATCAGTAATGGCTCTAGTCCAGCGGTTGTCTGTAAACCTCATTACGTGTCCAGCCCATCTGATTTTTGATGTCTTGGCAAATGAGACAGCGTCCCTGATTCTTGAGCATTGACGAAGATCAGAACTCCGGATTCTATCTCTCATTTGAGTGAATCGTGATATTCCAAGCATAGTTCTTTCGATTCCTCTTTGAGAGACCCGAATAGCATTCTCATCCTGATTTCGTAGGGTCCAGGTCTCTGAGGCATATGTTAATGCAGGAAGAATAGTGGAATCAAAGAGATGTGCTCGTAGCTGGAGGTTCTTTGTCCTTTTAGTTATTTCTTCAATGCTCTTGAAGGCATTCCAAGCCGCTCTCTTCCTCCTGCGCAACTCAGGTGCCAGGTCATTCATCATGTTGATTTCTCGACCTAGGTATATATAACTGTTGCATTCGGAGATGGTGGTTTCGTTGAGAGCGAATGGAGCGTCAGGAACAAGGCTGTTTCTCATAAACATTGTCTTCGTAAGATTCAGCTGTAGTCCTACCTTTCCACACTCACGGTCAAAGTCCGCCAGCATTTGTGCCGCTTGGCTGATGTTTGGTGTTATTAGAACGATGTCATCAGCAAAGCGGAGGTGGTGTAGTTGCCGACCATCTATCTTCACTCCCATGTTTTCCCATTCCAGTCGTGGCATGATGTTCTCGAGGGTGGCACTGAAGAGTTTTGGTGAAATGGTATCACCCTGCCGAACCCCTCTCTTGATATGGATGATTACTTCTTTGTAGAATGGTGAGATCTTGGTAGTGAATCCGCAATAGAGCTCACGAAGGATCCTGATGTATTGAGTTTGTACGCCCTGATTGGCTAGGGCTTCCATGACTGCTTCCGTCTCAACAGAATCAAAGGCCTTCTTTAAATCAATGAACGTTAGACAGAGCGGCATCTTGAACTCCCGAGATACCTCAATGAGCTTGGTTATTGTGTGGATATGGTCAATGGTACTGAATCCTTTTCGGAATCCAGCTTGTTCACATGGTTGTCCTTCATCTAGTGTTCTGCTAATCCTATTCAGGATGACTCAAGTGAATAGTTTGTAGATGACAGACAATAGGCAGATTGGGCGATAGTTGCCAATGTCGTGGATGTCTCCTTTCTTGTATAGTAGTATAGTCTTGCTGGTTTTCCATTGGGATGGAACCTTGCATTCAGACAGGTAGCGTGTGAAGAGTCAAGCCAATGTATTGATGAGTACTGATGGTAAGTTCTTCAGGTGTTCAGGTCTGATCTTGTCTGGGCCAGGT